TGATATACACACACACACAGATCCACGGACAAAATTGCAAAACTATGTTTTTCCGACACAGGGAAGTGTAAAACGTTGAGATTTGTGAAAATTTCTATTTAGAGTTTTTGCACGATTACAATACTTCCTCTGTACTTTGTGTAAGAGAAAGTAAAAATGTTTAGCTTTTCAAATGTCTGTGTGCAGCTAGCTGTTGCTACCCTACCAGAAATTTAATAGTAAACATCGTTGTAAAAAAAAAAAAAAATTTAATTTTATGCAAATTAACGAGAATCTATTGAGTCTATCTTCTAATAGCAGATCTTTTTATTTTATAAACAGAAATCACACTTTGCAGCTCTAGTTACAAACCGTTTTATGTTATATTCCTGTTCAAATAATTGCTCTACACCCTTCAAGTAATAAAATTCAACATATACTAATTTCACTTTCACTTTACTCAAAGACTTTGGGTATATATGAAAATTTAGTAAAACCCATTGAAATGTACTTTGGATGTTCATTGTTATTTAAATCAGTGCATATTGAGGATAACTTGTCTCTTAGATAATTAAAAAAGTAAGCACTGTTGATTTGAAGACAACATTAACACTTTTTTTCTCAATTGTTTTAGCTGTTTTCTGGCTTTGAAAACCTTACAGTTTGTGATAATCATTCAAATAGTGGGAGTTTTGGAGAAGTAACTAAAGTTTATGATTTAAAAAGTCAACATAATTTAATGAAGAAAAAGGTAAATCAGTATGTACAAATTACCATTTGTAAACTATTTAAACTAATACTTTTGTGTCTGTTCTCTGTAACTAGAGAGATATAACTTTATTATTGCTATACTCCTTTTTTCAAGATAAGTTCAACTTTTTGTTATAAAAAGATAAATGTGAGAAAATATTTTTAAACCAGATTAAAGAGAAACTTGAACCAAATGAAATTGAAATTCCAATGGAGTTCCCACAGTCTAAACACTTAGCAAGAATAGCTGGGATTTGGTTTGATGGTGTGCATACTCAGATCATCCAAGAGGATGCAGGTGAGTTTATTTTAGATTGACTCTTTAACCCTTTAATGCAGACTGTTGCTAAAACGTGACATACCGATTTTGCGCTTAACATATGTGCATAGGTACATTTTTCCTACTGCTGCCGGTCGTTGTGTTTTGGGTACATCCAGTGCTCACGTTGTCAAGTCGAAATGTATGTTGTCACACTCTTGACTCACGCGCATCGCAAATTTGTTGACTGTGAATCCAGCCTGCTTACATTGATTATTATTACTAACTAGATGGTCCAATTTTACTACAATAAGTACTAATAGCTTTGTTATTCACTTTTTTATGTGCATAAAATAATGTACAAAGTTATTCTCTTATTACGCTTTGTTGCATTTTCATGACATGCGGCAACAATATATAAAATTGTACTTGGGTGCCAAGTGGGTATAGCAGAATAGGATGCCTCGACAAGCTGTCATTTCTTCAAGAATGATTGTAAATAAGTAAAGAATGTACGATATAGTTTTGGCCCATATCTAAAAAGTACACTTTTGAACATTATAGTCCATGCAGCAGGTGAAGTAGAATTCAACTGTTTCATTGACCTCAGCATAGGGAGAGAGCGTTGCTGGGATAATGTGATCATGCTGCTGGGTGCAATATAACGAAGTAAGGCCTTGAAATGGCATTGTAAAATATGAGAACAGAGAAAGTGAGGTGGTGGACCACCATGCTGGATACCAGCAAAGAAAGTTCCTCATTGTACTATGACAAAAATACTGATCATAGACCTACACCTTGTGATAAAAACAGTCAGGTTGAATACTGAGAAAAGTACCCATCGCAGTGGCATCATACTGTCATTCAGTACCAACAGCAGTGTTATTGAGCACCCACAGCTTCAACACTGAGTACCCACATCATTGGCACTGAGCAACCACAGATTCAGCACTAAGTACCAAAAGCAGTGATACTGAGTACCCACAGCTAAGGATGATTACTTACAGCGAAAACACGACAAACCGTAATCAGAAGACAACTTCTTAAATTATTTACTTAGGTGATTTATACGGTTTATATACATAAAAGAGTGAATAATAAAGCAATTAGTACTTATTGTAGTAAAAACGGACCACCCATTTAGTAATAATAATCAATATAAGTAGGCTGAATTCACTAAGTCAAAAAATGTACGATGTGAGTGAGTGTGACATCATAAATTTCTATTTGACAATGTGACCATTGGTACCGACACTACCGTCTGGATGTACCCAATACACAACGACCAGCAGCAGTAGGGTAAATGTACCTATGCATACGCTAAGTGCAAAATCGGTATGTCGTGTTTTTGCGAGAGTCACCGTTAAGGGGTTAAGACATGCTACGGTCAATACATTTTATTTTTGACATTTTGCATTTACAGGGTTATAAGTTTTTTAATTTGTTATGTTCGAATAAAGTGGTTTCCTTTGTTTTTTAGTTAATAAACTCTAAATAATAGTTTGATTATTTTGTATGAAATGTAAATAGTATACACAAACTTCATTAGCATAGTGTTATGTCCCCACCTACCCGTCCCTTACAACTGGGTTCATAAACAAGACCTAATAAGGAATATACACAATTAGCAACAATTTATTTCTATACTTTAATGCCTCGCTATAAATACATCACCTAACATCAAACCTTCACCACATGGAATACAATGAGGCAAATGCTACTATCTCAACTTTAATAAGGAGTCCTTAATGTGAGTACCCTACTTGTCCCTAACAGTCAGTTCTAGTAGAAGTCTACAGACATCTTGTGGGCACAGCCAGCTCACGTGGTATGCCCCTTCCGTGGTAGTCTAAGCCTGAACTGTATTGTCTCATGTCTGAATTCCCTTTCTAAAATGACAGATTCCCAAAATTCCAGGTACAAGAGTAATCATGCTCTGCCACCAGTGTCAAATCTGATTAGGCCAGACCCCAGATTTCCCTACGGTCAGTACTGGCCAGTCTATGAACATTCCAGACATAAATTACAGACTGTCTCTAGACCTGGCTTCACACCAGCGGTCAAACTGTGGTTGGCATAAAGTAAAATAAGGGCTTCAAATCACTGACCTGCCATCATTTTTAGTAGAGTAACCCAAGACTCCAGGTGCGACCCCCCCCCCCCCCCCAACTTAATGTATATGGTCCAGTAATTATAACAATAGGATCTCTTAGGAAGTTACAGGTTCTGTAAGTAGGGTATAAAATACTGGATTAGAGTATTATGGGGCCCATTCCTAGACTGGTGTCTGTCACATATCTAATTAGTCAAAATCATTTTTAAAAAGCCAAGAAACTACCTTCACTGTTGGTTACTAATTCACATCACTGTTGTTCCAGGTTTCTCTTTGAGACGATTAATTGCTGACCAAAACTTTTTAAAATCCCTTGAGAAACCAGAAAAGTTAGAAAAAATTATGATGGATATTTACAGTGGACTTAGCCTACTGGCATGTCATGGCATTACTCACTGTGACATCAAACGTAAGACTTTCTAAGACATAAATGCAATCATGGCATGTGATTCTTAATTGAGTGAAATTTAGAATTAAAGCATAATTATATTAGAATAAGTTTATTTTAGTGTTCTTTTCTGGATGCCTTATATTACAATGTATGCATTTAGCAATGTTGAAGTTGTTTTTATATTTTTCAGCTGAAAATATTTGCATTAAATTTAATCAAGATGATTCATGCACTGCAAAGCTCATAGATTTTGGTTCAAGTAAAACTCAGAAGGATCGAATGACATTTAGAGGTTTAACACCAGAATACCTGCCTCCATCAATTAATAGTTTTCTACACAATGTTTATCTTTTCCAAAAGAAACAGGTATTTTTGCTTGCTACATGACAATGATTTGGGTTTCCACTAAATAAGTGCTGCCACAAAACAAATCATGCCCAATCATCACAGACAAAAATATGTTCCTCTGGCCAGTGGGTCACCAAATCTACCTAACCTAGTTTGTCGGGTGGCCAACAGTTAAACCATTGACCCAGAAACTTTTAAGGTCCAAAAACATACTTACCTTAACTTAATTTTAATTGATATAAACTGAGTAAACTCATGGATATCATATAACCTTAAGTTAAACTTAAGCTGTGCACTTTATTACAAGCAAGGAACACTTAATAATTTGTCTCAATGCTTCTGAAAAGTTATTTAATCCTGCTTGAAAGGTATTTTTTTCCAAATTCAGTTGTTCAAGATAAACTAAATCTATATGATAATTTTATTTTACTTCCTTTCTGCTTTAGCTACGAGCCATCCCCTCACCCTATCCAAGACTGTGTGGTAAGGACGATGTATGGGCTGCTGGTATGGTGGCGGTTTTCCTTATTAAAGGTGTACACCCTACAATCAAATTTTTTACTGGTCTCCCTGATTATCCAAGCCAAGGAAATGTTGAAGACTTGCGGTATAAGACCATGGAAAATGTAATTCAATAGCTCGGTGATAGTTTTTGTTGAAAAAGTGCTTGATTATTTTGTTGTTTTTAAAAATCTCCTATGATTATTAACTAAAGCAATTTAGGTTATGTATTATGTATCCAAGTGCCTATCGCACATCTTTTGACTAAGTATTTTTTTACTAACATTTTTTTACAGATTGGAAAAATGACAGATCCTTTACCAGAATACTTTTTTGCTGCTACTCAGTCTGTCATCTCAGAGCTTTTGCATCACGTGCTTGTTGTTGACCAGAATATGAGATGGACTGCTGAAAGAGCAATCTCATTTTTAAGAGGTATTTATTTGTTCATATAAAATGGTATTGGTTATCTATTCTTTTTTACTTGATGGTATATATTTTAAAATGTTTAAATAAAGTATTAGATTTTATTTTTACACCTGTATTATGAATAGCAGAAAAAATCACTTTTATTGTGAACATTTACAATCAGCAACAAACAAAATGTTCATGAGACACTTGTAGGGGATCATCCATTTTGGGCTGATGTTGGACCAAAATAACCATACACATGTTGACTTTTATTGCTACAATTAACACATATTAGCCTGCATGAAAAATGTATACGTTAAATAATAATAAATATCAGTGCTTGTGGCTAATAAAGATTGGCGGGTAACTAACTCATAAATACTAATTACCAAATTATCTTAAAAGGAGTAATGAAGGAAACAGAAATAAGGGTCAGTGTCATGAACCTGAGGTGGCCTTAGGATGTATTACATTGCTGTGTACAGAAAGAGAAAATAAACACTTTTTTTTTTAAAAACTTGTTTTTCCAGTAAAAAAAATGTTTATAATCATTATGAGTTTTTGGTTTAAATGAAAAATCAAGCACTAGATATAAAAGTTACTTATAATCTTGGTGACAATCTTTTTGGCTCTAGACTTTTTGACTAATCTTCTTCCAGACAATTGTAACTTGAGGATGCACAAGTTTAATAAGCTGAACCAGTGTTGAAGCATCTGTATCTCCACTTCTATTACTACTAATTAACTGTGTGTGTGTAAACATATGACTGACCAGGCATTCCCAATTCAGACCAATCTTCCCCTATCTTCTGTTATCTGCATTAATTAAATTCCTCACCTAAACCTTTTCTCAGTTGCTTTCTACCTTCCTTTTTTTTCCTTTTATAAATTGTCTTGTGTATAGTTAACCTACTACAACCTTTTATGTTTCCTCCATGTACATAAAAATTGGCTGCCTCCTTGTCTCACCTATTCATCCTGATTATCTGTTTTAAATTCAAAAAGATCATATTTCAATAATATTTTCTCAATATTGTTCCTTCCACCTTTCTCAAGAATATTAAATCTAGACTTTGCATTCTTCTTACTAATACTAATACACCTCACAAGCAGTAACCATTGTAAAATATTTAAATTACACCCACCTATAGTGTGGTAGGAGTTTGATTTGTCAGCAACATTTCTCTAATTGTAATTAATTATAAGAAATGTTGAACTTTAGTATTTCTATCTAATATTTTTTTTGAATGCGTCCAGAGTGGACAGGAGATGGACATGCTTCATGGGAATGGGGGAGGGAGAAGAAAACACTATATGTGTATATTTGTGTGCATTTTCATGATATTATCCTTCTTGTTCTCGATTAAAGAAAAACTGAGAAGTGAGCCACATTCTAAGAAGTTTAAATCAGATTTGCTGATTGAGCCAGTAGTTGTCAAGGTAAGTAGCTGTGGATGTTATGTCCTTATTCAACTCCTCTTTCTAGCACCCATGCCAACACTATTTGTTTTTATCTAGTTTATCCTCAACTATTAATATCAATTACCCCTATAATTCTTAATATTGGGTTAAATTTAGGGTTAGGGTCAGATGTAAAACAAGGTTAAACTATGAAAGCTAGCTTTCTGTCGGGACATGGTTAAACTCACTATGCTTTAAGCTATTAGATAGAAAGTATCAATATAAAAACATCGATTTGTTATTAAATAATTTGTTTATTGCTCTGAACGGGTTAGACTGCCATGTAGTCTGTAGTAATGTTTTTACAATTATCAATCAATTTAGCCGGCTAATAATAAAAAGAATTTCCAGAAAATTCTTTATTAATACATGAATGATTTTAAAAATATACAACTTTTGTTGCTTAGAGAGAAAACTCTTGTGAAGATGTTGATATAAAAAAGTGTAAAGGCATCAGCAAGCCTCATCTTCCTGTTAATCGGAATCCCTCAGAAGACAATGCTGTTGGGCTTACATTTGGTACTGCTTTTAAACTGAAGACAGGTAAGTTATTAATTTTTTTTTAAAGTAATTATTGTTCACATTTTGTCAAAACATTTTAAAATATTCAACAACAAATAATCACTATTCTACTTTATTTTGTAAAAAAGATATTTTTAAAGTAATCTCTAAATATAGTAATATGCCAGTTGGCTAATTGAAAAGCCTTCCTAATGCTCACTAATTGAACCAAATTACGGGAGGGGGGGAGGCCGTTTTGTAAAGAGAATATCATAGCTGCGGTTGGATTATCTTTATTCTATAGAAACCATCCCACGCTCTTGTATATTCTTTTTCCCTTTGTTGTTAAACCATTGCAAAAGCCAAGTTCTCTTTCTCCTACAATCAAACACGCTGTTGTCGGCAAAATTCTTCATTAAAAAATCCCTCTCGCAAGAGGCCGCTAGATATTAAGATGACTTTTGCTTCTTTATAGTGTTGGTTAGGGGCCCGTAATCCATTGTGATTTTACAATATAAAACGTACATTTGTTGTATTGGTAGAACTACTATTCTTTACTATCCTGTAATCTACAAATAATCCAAAAGAATATAACAACAATAATTTTGGTTTTATGTATGTTTACTTCTTTTTGTTTTACAAAAAATGTGATAGCAAACTTGTATATAATACATTCTCTCCCTTGAGTATTTTATAATAGGCTTTAAGAAAAAAAGTTGAGACCATCCAAAAGTCGGTACTGATGGAATGAAGCACATCGACGCTTTGTTGTCCCTTTTAGATTCCTTTCTCCTCCCTGCTCTTAGCAAGTCATCATCATCATAAGGGTTCGGCGTGGGCGAGTCGGTAAAGCTCATGGTTGCTAAACCGAAAAGTCTCGAGTTCGAACCCTCGGGCAGATGAGGCTCGTTAGCTGGGGACAGCCACTCTTCTAGGAGAGACAACTCCAAAATCAAACAACTGCTGCCTTGTAGTTTGTTCTTGGTTGGACAAAGGCTATGGAAGCAAATCCAAAAAGAAAAGCAGGCTGAAATCGGAGTCAATGGCCTCAATGGCGCATAACCAGTTGACACGTAATGCTTAATTGTGTTGAAGGCGTGGTCGAGTCGGCAAAAAGCTCATGGTTGATAAATTCGAACAAAGTCTCGAGTTCAAACCCCCTGGCAGATAAATCTCGATCCCCTTCATCACTAAAAATTAAGAACGAAGAAGAAGAAGAAGAGATCATCATCGTTCCTTTGTGGCCCCTGGGGAGCAAAGGGCTGCAACTACACATTTCCAGCAGACTCGATTTTGGGCTGCTCCCTTAATCTGTGCCCATGTGAGCCCAGCTATTTTCGCCTCTTCTTCAACCGTTCTTTTCCATGTTTTCTTTGGCTGGCCCACTTTCCTTTTTTTCCTAGGGATTCCAGTCCATAGCATGTTTTGCGATGTTTTCTTTTTCTCTTCTAACGTGTGTCCGATCCATCCCCATTTACGGGCCTTGATATCTTTCTCTATTGGCTGTTGCTTTAAAATTTGCCACAGGTCTTTGATATTTTGTCTGGCCATCTTATTTTAAGTATTTGTCGTAAGCATTTGTTTACTAATGCCTGTAGCCTATCAGTATTTGTCTTCGTAACCCTCCAAGTCTCCGAGCCATAGAGCAGCACTGCCTTGACATTCGTGTTGAAAATCCCAATTTTGCTCCGGAGTGACAGAGCCTTGCACCTCTTCTAGGAGAGACAACTCCAAAATCAAACAACTGCTGCCTTGTAGTTTGTTCTTGGTTGGACAAAGGCTATGGAAGCAAATCCAAAAAGAAAAGCAGGCTGAAATCGGAGTCAATGGCCTCAATGGCGCATAACCAGTTGACACGTAATGCTTAATTGTGTTGAAGGCGTGGTCGAGTCGGCAAAAAGCTCATGGTTGATAAATTCGAACAAAGTCTCGAGTTCAAACCCCCTGGCAGATAAATATCGATCCCCTTCATCACTAAAAATTAAGAACGAAGAAGAAGAAGAAGAGATCATCATCGTTCCTTTGTGGCCCTTGGGGAGCAAAGGGCTGCAACTACACATTTCCAGCAGACTCGATTTTGGGCTGCTCCCTTAATCTGTGCCCATGTGAGCCCAGCTATTTTCGCCTCTTCTTCAACCGTTCTTTTCCATGTTTTCTTTGGCTGGCCCACTTTCCTTTTTTTCCTAGGGATTCCAGTCCATAGCATGTTTTGCGATGTTTTCTTTTTCTCTTCTAACGTGTGTCCGATCCATCCCCATTTACGGGCCTTGATATCTTTCTCTATTGGCTGTTGCTTTAAAATTTGCCACAGGTCTTTGATATTTTGTCTGGCCATCTTATTTTAAGTATTTGTCGTAAGCATTTGTTTACTAATGCCTGTAGCCTATCAGTATTTGTCTTCGTAACCCTCCAAGTCTCCGAGCCATAGAGCAGCACTGCCTTGACATTCGTGTTGAAAATCCCAATTTTGCTCCGGAGTGACAGAGCCTTGCACCTCCACATCAGGCGCAGTGAGTTGAAGGCACATCTAGCCTTGTTGATACGACATTTTATGTCCTCGTCTGCGCTCTTAGCAAGTAGTGAATAGATAAATGAATCGTTTGCGAACTTCCTAGCTGTACATTCTCCACTTCTCACATTTTATCAGACACTAGTCAGCGGAAATTATTTTAATAGCACATAATTAATTTGTTTGATGAATCTTATTCATAAAACAAGTAAGGTAAGACTATTTTTTATATTATTAGTAATATTAATAAATGACGCGATTTAGAGGTGAGGCTTTGGCCTTTTGTGAGTAGTCAAAAAAGCATGATATCATTTGTGGATGTCCCTTAAATTAGATTTTCCTCCTCGTGAGCTGGGCACATACAGCTGTACATGTGAACATCGTGTGTCTGTCTTTTATGTAATACTGCACCCTTCATGCTTTCGCAGTGAAAATTTGGGACGTTTTTGAGTACACTCCCGTAAAGATTTCTGTCATAGGCCAAACATTTGTTTAAAGTTAATGGAGTTATGGCTTCCTACAAAATTTGTAGTTGAGCGCCCCGAGATCCCCAGTGTCTACCTTAGCACCTTGGGTCCGCTTATTGGGTGTCCTGCACAGGGGATAAGTGTACTACTTGAATCATTAGTCTCGCTGCATTAGGGGCCTCTGCAGGGGGTCTGTGTCCCAAGAGCCCAGTGATGCCTCTCACACCATCGAAGTCCCCGAGGGGTGTTTCTTTCACCATCAGCGTAAACATGGGCTTGTCTGTGGTAGTGTTAACAAACTAGCGCCCTAACAACTAAGCTGGCTAGTCTCTGTGGTAATGTTGACAAACTAGCGCCCCGTCAACTAAGCTGGCTAGTCTCTGTGGTAATGTTGACAAACTAGCGCCCCGTCAACTAAGCTGGCTAGTCTCTGTGGTAATGTTGACAAACTAGCGCCCCGTCAACTAAGCTGGCTAGTCTCTGTGGTAATGTTGACAAACTAGCACCCCGTCAACTAAGCTGGCTAGTCTCTGTGGTAATGTTGACAAACTAGCACCCCGTCAACTAAGCTGGCTAGTCTCTGTGGTAATGTTGACAAACTAGCGCCCCGTCAACTAAGCTGGCTAGTCTCTGTGGTAATGTTGACAAACTAGCGCCCCGTCAACTAAGCTGGCTAGTCTCTGTGGTAATGTTGACAAACTAGCGCCCCGTCAACTAAGCTGGCTAGTCTCTGTGGTAATGTTGACAAACTAGCGCCCCGTCAACTAAGCTGGCTAGTCTCTGTGGTAATGTTGACAAACTAGCGCCCACACACTTATACACACACACTTATACACACACAAACATACATACAAATACACACACTTACACACTGTTTTATAATAATTTCCTTATCCAATGATATGTATATTTATAAATTTTCTATGTGGTTTCACCCAAATCCACTTCAGTGGACGGTGTATTTGGTGTCACTCGCTGTCTAACTTTTTGTTGAATGGCGTCAATTTTGTGCAAACAATATATTAATCTACCTAGAAAAAGCATTTGGGAGCCTAATTCTAACAGTTATTTATTCAATTGCTAAATCATTGTTTTTGTATTAACCCTTTGAGCCCTGGCCTCCCTGGCCTAGTTTCTCCCATTTCCTGAGCTCCCAGGGCCAAACCAATTTTCACTTATCTGCTTCTAGCTTTGCCTATAACTTTTGAACTGTTTGAGATAATCAGACCAAATTTGGTATCCAGACTCAGGATCAAACATCAAAGCAGAAAGATTCTGAAATTCTTTATTTGTTTACAATGCATGAACAGTGTATATAAAACGAACACGTAATTATTGTTTCGATAGAACATAGAAGAAAACAATTTACATTTAGTAACCATTTTGTTATTATTGATACCTGGCCATACTAGTTCATCGCCAGAAGTCCACTTTTGTGTGATAACTTTCAAAACAGTTATCACTGCCGACCCGATGCAAAGAAAAACGCCGCATGTTTTGCACCAGTAAACAGGGTTTTTTTTTCGTTTCGGCAAGTCTTTGTCCTTGGCATCACGTGCATCAGAACGTACATGAACCGTTTCATTGTCACTGTCAATTTCAATGTCAATGAGTTCAGTCTCAAATTCAACGTCACTATCATCATAATAAAGACCAGGAATATTATCTTCTTCATCAGAATCAATAAGTAGTTGTATTGCCTGAGATGCAGTCATTCTACTTCTTTTGTTGATATTTCGGTCTTTTGCTTCATCTTTTGCACCAACTTTATGTGCTGAAGTCGATGGCTGTGGCTCAGCTTTTCATTTCGGCGGCATTGCTATGAAATGTAAACACTTTCACTTTTCCTAAAATCTATTTTTAGAATCATAATCACGCACTAAAAAGACTTATGCGCAGTTTTAGTCAGTCTTCCGCTAATTATATTTAATTAGACAGTATACCGGCCGCTAGGAATATGACGCTAGATCATCAGGCCGGAAAACCGGCTTTTCAGACATATATGCCTAATGTGTAAGCCGGTTTACCGGCCTGGCGGGCTCAAAGGGTTAAATTGCTACACCTCTGTATGTATATATACATATATTTATCAATTTTAATTATTTTAAACTGTAAACATGTGAGCATATTTTGAGGCACATTACTTTTCTTTAGAGGTTTTTCTTCAGTCACTATAATATAAAGAAAGATTGAATGTGTATAATATTACTTTTCAGTTGCTGTGGAATCAGTGGCAGCTTTAAAGTGTCAACCCACAGAAAAGTCACCTGTAATGCCTTTCTCAAAGTCTAAATGCTGGGCCAGTCCAGAAAATCAGCAACTTACAGAGGATATGGAATATGATCAGTTAGTTAAATCATTTAGTGAGAAGCTACCAATGCATAAAGAAGGAAAGCTACCAATGCATAAAGAAGAAAGTTTTGATCCTAATGCCAAACAGATTGTAGAGGAGCATAATGTTTTTTTTGGGGTACATAAAAAGGTTACAGACATTTCATTTGTTCACAAGGAACAGAGTTCTTTCATTCTTGGAACTTCTCCTTTCCTGCCTAAATTTGCTCCTATAGTTTCCAGGGAAGTTTACAAATTTACAGGTAAAAGTAGCCAGTTTCTAAACACGACTATTCCTGAACCCCATTTTGATCAAGCAACTGGAAATATTCCAAACATGGGTGCTTTATTCGATGACTTGATTAAAAAGTAATATAAGGAAAGTACAATACAATATGTTACATGAAATGTAACATCATTAAAATTGTTTAATTTTCTCATTTATTATTGATGATTAGATTTCTATCTCTAACATTTTGATTGCTTTCACTTCATACAGTTTCTTTTTGTATTAGTAAAGCTTTTATCTGTGGTTTTTGGTAATTTAATTTTATATTTGTAAAGTGTATGTCCTGATTGTCCCTTCATACGGAATTATTTCTCATGTATAAAAAAACTATTTAAAAAAGTAACCTTTGTCAAATGATGGCCAAATGATTCACCCCTCAATTCCTCTCTATGTATTGAACTACAGCTGCACTCATGGCAGCAACAAAAGAGAGGTCTAGCTTGGCAGTCATTAAATAATAAATAACTTTTTTAAAAGCATTTTTTGGCTACCAATTAATTTTGATAATTGAAATTGGTATAAACTGGTGAATAAATGTAGTTTTTAGTAGTACAGAAACCTATCTTTCTTTTTTAATATTGTAACAATTGTAACTGTTGTATGTAGATTAGAATTTTTCTTTAAAAGACAATTAAAAATTTATAATAAAAAAAATTGAAAAGCTCATATAAGTCCTGCAAGTTTGAAAACTAAATATTGATGAAAATTGTATGCATATTACTAATAATATACAATAATTTGAATTTTCAATATATTATTTTTATCTTAACAAATAGTGATTTTCCTCCAAATTTTTATGTTTTTTATTTTAATGTATACTTAGGTCAAAATAATGTGTAACTGCTCTTCATTCAGATTTTAGTAATAAAAGTAAGGTTATGAAACATTTATTTTGGTGGTGATGTTTTTACTCTAAAATAGTTAATTATTTAATTATTAGATGTAGTTCATCTTCTGTGACCAGAGCATACAAATGTGATCACAAGCTTCATCCATAAATACTCTTTGTATTCCTGTCAGGTAATAATTAGAACGGAACCTCACCTTTAATGTAAGGCCTTGACATCGTAATTCATTAATTTTTCTTGTAATAGTCTAATAGGTCTAAATAACACCAGTGCACTACTTACCTTTTTGGGAAAAAGGATTTAGCTTGTTAGGACCAGTGGCGTAGTGAGGTCGGGTGTCACCCGGTGCGGCACTTAATGGTGTCACCCCCCCAGAGGTATAGAGACCCTTCCCAGGGACAAACTTTCAAATTTTTGATTTGCACCCCCCCCCCTCAAGTTTTCGATTTGCAACCCCCCCCCCCTCAAACTTTCGATTTGCACCCCCCTCCCTCGAGTTTTTCTCTCTATATTTTGCTATTTTTTGCCTTGGTGTCACCCCCCTAAATGGTGTCACCCGGTGCGGTCCGCACCCCCCCCCCCTCGCTACGCCCCTTGTTAGGACACTTGTATTTTAGCCAAATCTATGCTTAGAAATCACAGAACCTATACCACTCTTTACGAGGAATCTTAATTCAGTAATACCTCATCACTTTAGTTAGACCACTAGTTTTCAGCTTCTTCATCTAGATGTAACTCAGTTTCAGATTTACTTATTACAAGTAATTTAAGCATTATCTTAATAAATCATGGTTTGCAGGGTTTAATTTCGAACACAAACGAAAAAACCATAACGCTTTCCAAGGCGTCCGCGCCCAGAGAGAGCCTATCCAGCATTCTCTAAAAGTCTAATTTCACCATCCGTTTTAATAACACTGAAAAAAAAACAGAAAAAAAAAACAAAAATAGTGATTTTGAGATATCATAGACTAATTAGAAAATAGTATAAATAATCGTAACATTTTTCTGTTTTAATTATGAACCTTAACATAAACAAATCAATGCGGTAGTAATAAAAACGGGAGAATTATCACAACGGAAAAAAATCAACTGAAAAGATGGGCAGAATACTTCGAAGAGACTTCGAAGAAACAGACCAGATCCAGAAGAAGCTGCTGACTTCACTGAAATAAATCTACACTTCGAAATGTATAGAGGACCCATCCTAGAACAAGAAATAAGCTATTAAAAAACAAAAAGCAATAAGGCTCCAGGAGAGGACAGAATTACTGCGGAGATGCTAAAGGCAGACCCAAAAATAGGTGCAGAAACTCTATCAGGAATCTTCAATATAGTATGGAATGAAGAAAAAGTCCCAGATTCTTGGAAACGGGGAATCATCATCAAATTACCCAAAAAGGGCGACCTTAATGTTTGTGAGAACTGGAGAGGCATTAACCTTCTGTCAGTACCAGGAAAAATCTTCTGCAGTCTTATTACAAAGAATAAGGAAAGGAAATGATGAAATCCTTCATGAAGAACAAGCTGGCTTCAGGGCCAACAGGTCATGTAATGACCAAATATTTGTCTTGCGCACTATAGTGGAACAGTCCCTGGAATGGAATTCGTCTCTCTACATCAACTACATAAATTTCGAGAAAGCATTCGATAGCATCCACCACTCATCATTATGGAAGATACTAGAGCTATATGGCTTTCCAGGAAAAGTCATAAACATACTTAAGGACATGTACTATGACAACCAATGCTGTGTGCGACATGAAAATCAACAAAGTGAATGGTTCAAGGTAAAAACAGGAGTCAGACAAGGATGTGTCATATCACCTGTCATATTTTTGGTGGTAATAGACTGGATTATGAGAAGAGCCACTGAGGATAAGCCAATAGTAATTGTTTTGGAACTTACCAACCACCTGTAGGACTGTAACTTTGCTGATGACTTGGCTTTACTCTCACATGCCCATAGGAAGACCACTGGAAACATGGAGGAGAGAGATGGAAGAAGAAGTGCAGGCTACTGGCATTACCTGGCATGAACTAAAGTGGCTTGCCCAAGACAGAGTGGAATGGCGGAGGTGTGTTGCTGCCCTATACTATAGTCTATACTCCACAGGGGAGTGATGAGGATTAAGTAAGTAAGTAGGCCTAAGTAATTTTAAAAAATTAAACTATTGAGAGCGAGTTGAATTTCTTTTTTAATTACCTCCCCTGGCAAAATTTAATTTAAAAATATTTTAATTAATTATTTCTATATTAATATATATATATATTATAATAGATTGGAAACACTGACGAGAAGCCGCGTTGATTGTTAACAAGCCTTTATTCAGCCATGATGGAGAGAGAGAGGAACAGGAAGTAACAATAGATAAATACAAGGGACATCACTCAATAACAACATTATAAATATAACTAATACAAGAAGAGTGAGTTCCCCTGACCTCACAAATCCCAATATATTACATCCCTTTACCCTTAGTAAACACAACACATCTCTCAATAGAACAATTGACAGTATCCTAAAATCACCAATATATTGTAACATGAACACTATGGTAGATTACATCCTTACAAACAATGCACAATATGCTACAACATAATCAAGATACAAAACAATGATGTCAAAGTCCTTTTGACCTTTAAAATCATAGGTCTAACTTATCTGGGACCTTGATTGTCCTGTTTGACCTTCTCAGTGGCTTTTGATTTGGTGACTCAAGATTCTGACCATCTGGATTCTCTATCTCAGGAGGTCTAGGATTTAAATCATTAATTCCAGAATTTACATTTTCTGACTCCAGACTACTTGGTTCACTCATATCAACAGAACTTGGTTGTGGAACAAACTGAGTTGGTGTGAACTGTTCAGATTTGGTGGGATTGACAGATTCACACTTATTATCTGCACAAGTTATTTTTAACTGGTCTGCATGTCTACGGACAATAAGTCCATCATTTGTTTTTACTTTATAAGACACAGGTCCTGTACATTGAACAATATGACCTGGTATCCATTTTTCCTTTCTCCCATAATTTCTTAGATACACATTCTCATTAACACCAAATTCTCTTTCAATGGATGATTTGTCATGATTTACTTTTTGTGTATGTTGATGTTGGGAAACAGACCTTTGAACAGTTGGATGTAGTAGATCAAGGTGGGTTTTAATTTTCCTACCACATAACAATTCACATGGTGCAACACCTGTTGTTATATGAGGAGTTGTGCGGTATTTGGTTAAGAACCTGTTTACTCTTTCTCTAAGAGAAAACTTGTTACCGGTACTCATTTTTACCATAGCGGTTTTGAATATGCCTACCGCTCTTTCAGCCAAAAAATTCCCAGCAGGATGATAGGGGGATGTGGTTATATGCTCAATACCATTTGCCACACAAAACAGTTTAAACTCATGAGCTGTGAAACTAGGCCCATTATCTGAAACAATTTGATCTGGTAATCCATGAGTTGAAAATATTTCCTTAAGTTCTATAATGGTATCATTTGCAGTGCTTGTGTTCATGATTTTAACTTCTAACCATTTAGAATGTGAATCAATAACAATTAAGAACATTTTGTTCATGAAAGGTCCTGCGAAATCTATATGTATACGTTTCCATGGTTCGATTGGCCAGTCCCAGTTTTGCAAAGGTGCTGTAGCTGGTTGCTTTGAATGTTGTGCACAGCTTGAACAAAGCTTTACATATTTTTCAATATCAGCATCCATATGTGGCCACCAGAACCATGATCTTGCTAGACTCTTCATTTTGGAAGAACCAAGATGAGTATCATGTAAAGTTCTTAAAACTTCTTTTTGTAACATTTTGGGGATAATTACTCTTGACCCCCATAGTACACATCCATCTTCTAGACTTAACTCTGTTTTTCTTATTTTATATGGCCTTAAGTCATCATTCACAGACTCTTCAGGCCAACCATTCTTACAGTACTCATATACTTTTGTTAAGCACTCATCTTTTTGTGTTTCTCTTTTAATATCATTCACATTTACATTGGAGTTATCCATGATAGTGAAGAGAACAAATACATCTTCTGGTACATAGCTAAGGCTTTGGTTTTTTAAAGGTAATCTACTAAGACTATCTGCACTATTCTCAGATCCAGGTTTGTATCTCAATTCATAATTGTAATCATGCAGTTAGTGTGATAGCCCATCTTTGAATTCTTGGTGAGGCATGCTCAGGTAGGGTTTTATTTTCTCCAAATAAACCTAGCAATGGTTTATGATCTGTAAAGATGGTGAACTTCCTACCAAACAGAAACTTATGAAATTTCTTAACACCAAACATGATGCCTAAGCCTTCCCTATCTAACTGAGAATAATTTTTCTCAGCCTGGTTCAAAGATCTACTGGCAAAAGCAATGGGTCTGTCACCCTTTTCATCCATGTGGGACAAGACTGCTCCTACACCATCTGGTGAAGCATCACATGTTAATATAAGTCTTTTCCCTGGGTCATAGTGAGTTAGTAAGGTGTCAGAAGACAAAGCTTCTTTTGCTGTACTAAAAGCAGCTTCTTGTTGTTTACCCCAGTGCCAAGTTGCATTTTTCTGTAGCAGCTTGTACAGTGGTGATAGTTTACCAGACAGATTCCCTATGAACTTTGCATAGTAATTTATCAAGCCCAAAAAAGCTCTTAGTTGTTAGGTATTTTCAGGTTTGGGTGCTTTTTTAATGGCTTTTGTTTTCTCAGGTTGAGGTCTGATACCTTGCTTGCTTAATATATAACCAAGAAAACTAATTTCTGTCAGCATGAATTGACATTTATCTTTGTTTATCTTTAAACCTTTTTCACCAACTATTTTCAAGACTTTATCAAGTGTTTTAAGATGTTCAGTGTCATTCTTACCAGTTATGTACACATTGTCAAAGTAAACACAAACATTTGGAATATCCTTAAAAATACTGTCCATGACAGCTTGGAAAATTCCAGGGCTAGATGATATGCCAAAACATAGTCTTTCATATTGGTAGAGTCCTTTATGTGTGTTTATTGTCGTATAGACTTTTGAATCTGGATGCA